CCCCCCCCCCAAAACACTCAACCCTAACCTAGAAAAGCAAAAAAAAAATGAAAATACAAAAAAAAAATTGAACCGGGCTCGGCCCGAACTGCCCGGGTCGGTTCACCAAAAGTTTGGCCCGACCCCGGCCCGCCCGACCCGCCCAAACGGGCTAAAAGCCCGGAACCGGCCAACCGGTCCCGGTCCGGTCCGGGCCCAAATAGTAATGGGCCGGGCCGGTTCCGGGTCGGGCCGGCCCGGTTTAGTCCATCCCTATTTAAGAGTTCTTTTGATGATTATTGTGAACGTAGCAAGAGCAAACAATATGTAGATAGAGTCTACTTCTATATGGGATTAGTGATTCGGCGTTTTCGATTAAATTCGTCCGTTTCTGTCTCATCGTATTGTAGCCTTGAGCTTTATGATTGTAATGTTTCTTGTCATATTCATTAATAATAATTAAGTTATTTGTTTTCAAAAAACAATTGCATTGACTTTTTTGAACGTAAATGATTCATTTAAAAACCAGAATTTAAATAAGTTAGACAAAGTCATTCCCTAATCACTAGAAACAATATAGGAATACATGGTGAAGTGGTGAACTATGGAATATTTTTTTTTTTGTAAAACTAATAATTACTTACATGGATTAAAATCATAATAACTAGAGTTCAATTAAAGGTACATATATGTATACGGAGGCTTACAGGTGATTCGATTGAAGAAATCGTGAGGCAGGAATTAGCTTTGCTTTTCATTTTGGCGCTTGATCACGGACACCTTGGTTTTTAACGGCAGAGCAAGGTGTGATGAAAGGGCTTAGTATGATTAAGAAGCAAGACGACTAGGCGAGTATGATCAAGATATGTTCTACGATGGTTTGGAGGAGGAATGTGAAGTGTTATTGGTTCGTCCCCCTCTTGAATCGTCGTCATGGAATTAACGAGCAACTAGGTTGAGGATCTTGCAGGCTTACCAGGAGGAGATTGACGTGGGGGAGCTCCATCAGTTTAATTCTATATATTTATGCATTCTTTTTGCGAGATTATATATGTACTTCTTGTTTGCATTTGTTTTCTACTTTCTTTGTTGTCTTTTTTGTTTTGAACATTAAGAGTGGTAGGGTTGTCGTATGGTTTATTTTACTAGATAGAATTCTATTGGGAGGCATTCAGGATGTTCAGCGATTAGTCACGTTCCTTTTAGGATGAACTATTTTATGATTGATAGTATAGAGGCAATGGGCTTTCAGGAGGTTAGAAGGGGGATATGGATTTTATTAGATGTTGTTGGATGGATGGTTTATTCAATATTAATATAAGTTTTCTTTTGTAAGAAAAACTGGACTTCAATTCTTATTTGGATTACTATACATTTGTAATGTGCAAAGTTAAATGTTAACTTGATAAGGCTAGTAAAAAATTTAACTAACATTCAAATTTCAGAATAATAATTTATATGGTAGCACCAAATACTGATCGAGTTTGTGAATATTAGGGAAATAATCGGGGGCGTAGCTCATTTTGCAGGAAATAGGTGTCACAAGGGAGAGATCTAGAGTTCAACTCCAAATAATGAATTGGGATGGAAAGTCACTCTATTTCCATCAGAATGAGATCAAAACTCAATTTACATTTTCCTAGATAATTTTTCGGTCAATTTTGAGGGACCCTCAGAGATGTGGTGTCACCTTTTTTTTGTGAATATTGAGGAAATACAATGGCTAACAAATACAAAAAGCAATTAAATAATTTTTCGGTTTTACAAATGTGTTTTTCTTCATATCTTCATTGTAGCTAGCAATTTGATCCCGCCAAACTTAAAGTAACAATGTGATCTTGTTAAGTTTCGATGGAATAAACGTATCTTCAAATTAATATGCTACATAGCATTATCGTAACAAGCTTAGACTACTAATTTGATCAGAGTAAGTTTCAAAAGACCTTCTGCAATTCTAAATCTCATTAATCAGGAATGTATTACTTTTAATGCTGCTTAATAAAAGCCTCTCTTTACTCTCAAAAAAATGATTAAGTTTCAAAAGAAAAATGTAGTCATCCAACTTCTTATTAACATACAAGTACAACTTCTTATTGATACCTGATTTGAGTTTTTCACCTCTAGTGCTTCAATTATGGTGTGAAAGACACTTTTGATACATATCTTTGAAATTTCATATTTAGTCCTTTAATTTTCATAAAAGTGACACATTTGATTTTTCAATTATTATTGTTGCAAATTTATTGAGAAATATAGCTCAAGTGTTCAACATGATATTTAGAATATTATCTTTGAAAGTGTTTTCAAGCTTGAACTGTTAAAAGGTAATATTTCTGAATATTCAAATAAATTTATTATTGTTATTATTATTTTATTACTATGGGTACGATATTGATTTAGGACTCATAATAATAATAATAAAATGTTTAATAATAATAAAAGAGTACTAGTGTACGGCTATATTGTTTACAATCACAAAGTTAATAATACAAATGGATAAGCATTCTTAGTGCATATCCTCTAAGTCAACATTTGTGTATTTTCATTTTGTAATGAAAGGTATGATGAGAAGAGATGCCTCATCATTTTCTATAGCCGTATACGAACCGTCGTGACCATCTGAGAAGAAACGAACTCCCAAATTTTCAACTATATAAATTAGTTGATGGTGTTGAACATGAAAAAAGAGGATGAACGAAATTTGATCAGACAATTTCATCGCAATCTTGCCTAACTTTATATGATTATCTGCAGTATTTAGACCACTTTCTATACAAATCACTTGTTAAGTGTTATTTTATCAGTAGCTAAAATACACTTTTACACCTTCTTTTTACCCCAAAAGTTCTATCTTGTAACCCGGTTACTGTGATAAGGGTAGATAGTAAACTTTTAGGAAAACGTATTTTTACGTGACTAGAAGTGATATCCGGTCCAGCCATATTTCTACACCCTTATATTTTACTTTTTTTTATCCACGAGTTCTAACAATTATCATATTGACATTTTTAGTTCTCTACTTATTCATAAAAATGTTGATTGACAATACTCAAGGGCTAAATGTGTAGAATTTTGAAGTAAAAGACTAAAAGTATCTCTCGCTGCCTCGCACAATAAACAAAGGACTAAAAATGAATATAAAAAAATAAAAATCGAGTATAAAAATATCACAGACATGAAATTTAGAGATTAAAAGTGGCATAAAGTCTAATAACCCATATAATGAGTTACTGTTTAAGTTTAGTTTCTCATAAAGTGTGAAGGAGCTATTTAGCAACACGTGCATCCAATAAACAAAAATGGGTAATGCCCTTCTTCGTATGTACACCCCATTTCTTTGCACATTTGATGCAATGTGAGGTCTCTAAAATTCTTAATATTATGATAGTTTGTTCTTCCTAAAAAGTGTTGTCTCATATTAAGGGTCATCTTTTAAATTCCGTAAACTACCACTCTTATCAATTATCAATCTTAGACATTATAAAATTTATTTGCCTTTCCAACTAAACATAACACACTTTGGCATGTTTGGATCATTTTTGGAAACATTTCTGAAATAGGAGTACAAATGTTTAGAAATTTCAAAATAAGACTGACACATATTCATTCCATAATTAAATAAGAGCAATTACTGTCTCAAAACATGTCAGCAATTACTCCTATTTCGGGAATAAAAACATAACAATCATATTTTGGAATTTCAGAACGTTTTGCAATTTCCTCATCATTTTTAGGGAAACTTACATAAAATTTTATGCCCTTTGTTGGAACTATGGAATATAATTCTTTACAGGGCAAAATAGGTTATAAAACATGACTTTTGTAATAGGACCAAAGGCAAGCATTTGTCGAAGAGTAGAATTGGATGCATCATCATGCAAGTCTTATAACGTCTTAATCTAAAATTAGTGGAATCATCTAAAGTATATGCTGAAATATACACATGTTTAATGGGGATTGTTTGATCAAGCTAGGTTGTAGAAAACCTCTTTTATTTTAGCCTTTTGCTTTCTTTGGAATTGTGATATCACATTTGTGGTTCATCATAATTCATAATCGATTCATAATTCATAATGTTAATCATGTTGTGTGCTTTGAGGAGAAATGCAATTGGGCAGTATGTGGGGTCAGATTAAAGGAAACTACTTGTTTTGAAGTGAGAAGGTATTCAATTACTTATTATTGACTAATTTTTGTTTATGCTTTATTGCAAGTGTTATTGCATATATGTTATGAGTTGGTAAATGGTAACTGAAGATATAAGAAGTCTTTAATATATAATTCATTAGCAGATTAATTATAATCATGCAGTTTATTTTAATTTATATTTTTCTATTGTAACTGGAGGCAACAACGTGGAGATTATTAATCATTGAATGTGAATTTATATTGTGTTGTTTTAAATCGTTTGATTACGGGTTTGATGGTGGACCTAGGGGGGGGGGGGGGCTAGGTTGTAGAAAACCTCTTTTATATAATTCACATTTATTGGAATCGTACTGCTACGGGAGGCAGTGCTCCGGCCTCCGGGGAGTTACGAAGTCAACGGCGAAGATGATCACCGAAACCAGTGGAGGACCTAAGGGGGTCTAGGTGGGGCACGTGCCCTCACTTCGGGCCCGAAAATTCATTAGTAGCACTTAAGGTAAAAACTAATGCCCCACTTTGGGCCCGAAGTATTTATTATAGATTAAATTTAGTGTCTGGTGTGCCCCGCTCTCATTAATCTCTGGGTCCGCCACTGTCCGGAACCTAGGCAGAGACCTTGTTGCAGCCTCATGGATGACGGAGTTAGCTTTGAAAGTACTCTGTATATTAAAGCAAAAGAGAAAGAAAAACTAAAATTTAAAAGGAATAGAAGACGGCAAAGAAAGAAAGCTAGAGGATGCAGGGAGAAAGCTCACGGGTGCAGACAGAAGAGAAGATCTCCAGGGATGAAGAAAGCAAGAGAAAAAGAAAGATAGAAAAAAGCCACATGTCACCACATGTACATGTTTACCAGTTGACTGGGGTTTTACCTATTTTTTTGGAAGCAGGTGGCTTATATTAATAAGAAAGAACTTAAGCAACAAAGAACATATAGTCTACCGTCTGCCCTTGAACCAGACTTAAAATCTACCACCTCTAATGAAACACCCAGATTCGCTGATCCTAAATTGGGCTTACATGAGCCAAATTTAAGTTCCCCATCACCTGTCCTAGATTCTAGAGTATAGACAAAATAAAAAAAGGCTATCATCCCAAACAAATTGATAGACCTAACAACCAAAATGATAATAAGAAACCAAATGACAAAATAATAATAACTAATACGAAAACTATCACAGACTCTAGCACATCGTACAACCCATGACAGTGGTTCAGGAGGAGGCCGTATCATTGGTACCACTCTAATTGAACTTCCATTGTCGATCGAAATCTGGCCTATTCGAATCTCGTGCAACTCTCCTCGTCCCACATACTTCTCGCCTGGGCTCTCCTCCTTCGCTTCATGCTGGCCGCCGATTACTTGCTGATTTGAGCCGTTCATCGCCATCTACTATCCTCTGCTTCTGTTCGCCTTGCACGAGCCGCACCAGATCGACGGAATTGCCAAACCCTACGAAGAGGGAAGAGACCGCCGCTAATCCGCTATACTGATAATCTTATCATTAATTTTTTTAAAACACTTATAACTTTTTTAATTTTTATCGGGGTTTTACCTATTAAAAAGCTTAATTGATTTTTTTGCAGTATGAGTATTTAATATAATTGTAGGAGGACTCGACACTTTTCTAAATTTATAATTATAAATTTGGTGACAATCCTTCTTTTCTTATTCAACAATTATCTTCCTACACTCAGTAAGAAATTGTTACAGAGAACATAAATTTAGTTTAATCAGACATGATATAACTTCATTATGGACCAATTTACAAGGAATATAGGGAATTATCTTCCTATATCATTATACACACACTCAATATATTATCCACGCTTTGGTTAGCCATTTATACACTCCTATCTCATATCATAGATATCTTTATATTCTACGAATAAAATCAGCAAAACGTTAAGGATCTACTAAAAAATTATAAATAAATACCCAGCATGTCAATTACGAGTCTTTTTTTAGCATTTATTTCACGAACGAAATGCAATTCATACAAGATGATGAATAAAGACTTGATGCCAACAAAAACTAAAACTATATCTATACAAATTTTAACATTTAGATAAGTGCATTTTATCGAACTCACCATTCGCCTCATCATGCTTCTCCCAATGTTCACTTCGATATGTCGCCGAGAGCCTTCATCAGAAAGGCATATTCATAAGCTTCTTCTTCACAATGGCCAGAACGCCCTCCTTCGCCAAAATGTCCCCCGCTCATATCTGTCTTTAGGACAAGTGAACCAGAACACCTTGAACACGCTTCATCCCGTACTTTGGCGACCCACTTAGCTGCTTCCCAGACACCAACTCTGACAGTCATCACAAGCAACAAAGGAAATACATGTTCTATTTAAAAGAACGTAAATGTTTAACAGAGCAGATGAACAATCTTATAAGAACATGTTTATACCTGGAGTCATTGTATGAAGATGTGACAAGCGTGGAGGGAAAGCATAATGCATGAGATATATTATCGTAAGGAGAATACTTCATAATATAATTAAAGTAAGACTCAATCTGAGGATTCCCAAATTCTTCATAGTCCAAGACTGTGAGAGGTAAAGCCGGATCCAACAATGTGTTGCATATATCAAGAAAAGGAACCTGGACCATTGCGGTTTTGTATTTATATATAAAACCATAATATTGATTGAAGATTACATTTTTTTCTTTTTCCAGATAATAAGATAGAAAAATATCTACAGGCATTATGATGACCTTTAAAATCGCAGCCTGAAAAAGTCCGGGATGTATGTTGATGGCTGCCCCGACAAGAAGACTTCCGGCACTAACTCCGACAGCACCAAGTTTATTTGTATGAACATAACCCTGGTTAATAAGGTACTGTCCGCATGATACGAAGTCATAGATGGAGTTTAACTTGTGTAATCCACTCCCAGATTTATGCCACGTGGGATCAGGGCCATTACCGCCTCTGAAACATATATTAGGAACTCATTGAAAAATGATGCAGTAAGCTGCCGATTTCATCTTTTAGTTTTTAAGAAACTAAAATAATGTCAGATTAAATGCAGGTTAATAAGCAAGCTCAAGGAGAACATGGAAGATGAAGAGGTCAAGGTTTAAGTAAAAGCAAATTCAAGAAAATAAAGGTTAGGTATCGTTTGTTTCAAGGAAAACACGTTGTTGACTCACAAAGAAAATTGTTCCGAGTATAAAGTGTGTTTGGATTATGGAAAATGACTGATGAAGAAAGGAAAAAAATCAAAAGAATCTTTTAATTATTAGGTAATACCGTGGAATTCCAAAGCAGCATTAAATTTGATTTAACCTCTTAAAAAGTTTACATATCGCTTAGATTTCCTAATCTTTACAAATGCTTATTTATTTTTATTTAGTTTCAAGCATGTCTTTTACTTATGAATATACTTTTTACTTCGCTCTCTGTTTTCTTTCCCTAGAATTTTACGGGGCCCATATAAGCATTAAGGAATACGGAGTGATATTTTCTGGTGCCAGACAAAAGGATCTTTATTGGGAAGTGTTTCATGCGCCCAAACACAGAAGAAAGACAGGAAAATTACCAAACATTTTCATGTAAACAAACAGAGCCTAAGTGAGCTAATAAGAAGACCTAGCATGAGAAAATCGTGACAAATAATCTACTAACCTAACATCAGAAAAAGCAATTACCCATCCACGATCAAGTAGGGAGAGACGGTTTGCACACCAGCTTTTATCCAGAACATCTCCATACGCTCCATACCCATGCAGAAGACCTGAAGATTGACCTTTTTGGTGTGCTTTACGAGAGTAAATGATAGTCAAAGGAATCCTCACTCCATCATGGGAGACAACTTCTTTGTTTTCACATGCATAGACTCCTGTGAAATCTTTCCATACTTGTCCAAATTTTCCAGTTTCACATTTCTGCCCACTTGAAATATTCGCCAATTCTTCTTGCATCACGATGTTGGATGATTTCTTAGACATATCATAGTCAACAATAGTGTCAGGCATCTGCAATGCAAAATACAATATTCACAAGCTTAAAATGGTGTGGTTATCAGTTAATTAAGGGGAAAAGATACCGTGTTTATTTATACAAGGTTTTACTATAATACAGTATAAGTTTTTAACTAAAACATGGTCACTGAAAAAATACCACAATGATCAATGAACAGAAAAATGAAATAACACTGTTGTCACCTTGGGCACCGCAAAAGTATCACCCAGGTCACCGTGCATAAACAATTACATTTTTGTGTATTATTCTTATTTCTGTCATATATTTTTCCCACTCTTATTTGACTTGTTTTATTTTTTTATATATTTGTATTCTTCCTCTAGTAAATTAGATCCCCTTGTTCTTCACAATCTTGTACATTTGCATAATTGCATCCATAAATATCACCACGGTCAAGCAATTGAGCAACTTAGAAATCTTATTGTTTAGATTTTAGCTTAGGGTGGCACTTAGACTTTGACTGTGAGGAGACTCAGGAGAGAATATGAAAAAAGATTTAAAATGGACAAACTTAGCAGAAACGAACATTAAACAGTAGACTAAAGTACCACTGGAGATGAGATGACCACACGATATAATGAACTCGTAAAATCATGGTTTGAACCGGGAGCTACTGAGCACATGTCTGAGGGGAGAGGAAAGAACCATGGACTAAGATCTTCAATGGCATTTGGTTTCTGCAAGGCACAAATTGACATGATTCAGTCAAATTAAAAGGTAAAAATAATTTTTGTTAAATGTTCACCCATATAGTAATTATTATGGGCCACTTACGTCAAATAAAAAGAAAATATATAGTTTTTGTTGAACATTCACCTAAATATAATTTAAAATGAGCCAATTGGTAATATAAAGGGAACAGTCAAATGAGCCACTGTTAGGGTTCTGTGATTGAGAACGAGTCCAGGGACGTCTTGGGGTAGCAAGGTACCCGGTTGAGGTGATAACCTGCCTGCTAGGGTTACTCCTCTTCTTGCCCATGGCTGGAAGAGCGCAGTAAGAGCGCAGGGGGAAGGGGGAAGTCCGTGACTTCTCTCTGGGGATTAATTCTTCTAATGATCGATATTTTATTAAGGCTGAAAAAGGAATATAAATAGGCATCCTACCTTTACATGATAGAGTTCTAGTCTAACTAAAACTGTAACCTCTAAATACTTCTATTACTAATAGGACTTCTAATCTAGTAGAAATTGTAACCTCTAATACTTCTAATCCTAATAGGAAGTAATAAATAAAATATAAAAATAGCATCAGGATAATTTCCCTCTTCTAATTAAACTGTTCTAATTAAATCTCTTGCTAGATCCATAAAATGCATCCGTAACATCACTCCCTCCCTCGAAACTGAGCTTGTCCCCAAGCTCATATCCTGGATAAGCAGTGATAAAAGTGTCAAACGGTTCCCAAGTGGCCTTGTCTAGTGTGCTGCCTTGCCATTGAACTAATAGTTCCACTTATAGCGTTGGCAGACAACTCCAAGTCTGGGAAGCCATCATCTTCTTCCTGCTCATCTTCTATCTCGATCAAGAAAAGTTTTTTGCATCGGTGATTCATCATCCACTCATTTCATTTTCATTTCATCATTTTCATTTACCCCAGTGCCGCAAAGGCTCCCACCTACGGCGGGGTAAGGGGGGGTCAGATGTACGCAGCCTTACCCCTGTACTAAAGCACAGAGAGACTGTTTCCGGATGACCCATAGTGAAAATCCCGTCCAAAATTGCATGGACTGACTGATGCTTCATAACAAAGAAGCGCAGACAGTTTAGTGAGCCATTTTGCTTTATTCCATCATAATCTCAAGCCAAAAAAATGATTCATCATCCACTGTTCATCACAATTATAACATAGCCCTTTTGCTCGTCTTTCTGCCATTTCATCTTTCGTGAGTCGCTTAACAATAGGATTTCCTGCCTTTGTTGTCACAAGCGTTTGTCTAAGCTGTGGCGGATTGCTGTGTTGTTTCATATTTGTTGTAGGACCCGAGACTTTTACAGGTGCAAGCGTCAATGTTTGCCTTGCTTCCAATGTCCGTGCAAGGTTCATGGCATAACCCAGGTTGCCTGGTTTTGCTATCTCCACATCAGCCCGTAAGTGGGGATGGAGACCTGCGACAAACAAAGCAATCTGATGGGGGGACTGTATTTGTGAAGTTCTTGCTAAGGCCTTCTGAAATTGAGCACAATATTCATCAACTGATCCGATCTGCATCAGAAGTTTCAGATCTCCAATCGGGTTAGAACTCAAAGGGGGCCCAAAGCGCTCCAGACAAAGATCTTTAAACCTCTCCCAGTTGATTTCTCCTTCTTCCTCTATCATCTGATCGAACCACAGTTGTGCATCATCTATCAAGTGGAATGAGACCATATTCATCTTTGCAACACTAGGAGTTTCTTGGTTCAAGAAGAATTTTTCGCACCTTTTCAACCAACTGGTAGGGTCGTAGGTGCCATCAAACACAGGAAATTCCATCTTCGCATACTGTGGTTTCCAGGTATTTGAACTGCAGAAAAGTAGTGTTAGTACCTGTTCTAAATTCCCAATCAATGAAATTATACCTAGCACATACCCTACTACGGTTCGGAGAGCACTGAATTAGAATGAGAGGAAGAAGACTAGCTCTGGCTTGAAAGCTTAAACCTGTAGCCCTGTCCAAGCCAAGGAACTTACGCCAAGTCCTGCCAAGAAGAAAGAGGAGGTATGAAGCGTGGGAAAGACTAATTCCGACAATGGCAGGAGAAAAAGTGGCATTTACCTATCCACAGGGACTTCAACCATGGAATGAAAATCTCCCGCTCTAATAGCTCCGAAAAGGTTGAATACGTGTATTAAATTACGAAGGCGGCTCATTCACATGTGAAGGGATCGGTGTAGAACTCAACCGCTTCCCCTTCCTCGGACCAAGAGGCTTGGACTATGAGCCCGTATCGAAGAATATTCCCGAGATGTGAATCTCACTCGAGACGGTGTCAAGAGGTGCTACTGAGGCGGAGAATTGGATTACTTTGAACCGAAGAGTTGGAGCAAAACTCTGAGACTCAGTAGTATCCCTCCCTATCTAGTCTAGTAAGGGCTTTGAAGCCACGGAGACTTTTTCTCGAATCAATCTTTAATCCAACTAGCTGCTGCGATCACTGCCTGTATGAATGATCTTTTCTATTTCATAGGAGATCTTGGTAAGGAAGCTTGCTTAATCGTCCACTTGTCATTCCTCAGACAAGACAATCGATCCCGAACTTACAAGAATCCCCTTCAGGTAGGGAGAGAGGGAAGCCGGATTTTAGCCAATTCTCTAAAACTTATTACACAAATAGAGAAATAGGGGTTTGAGGTGCTGTATGATATCAGGTTGTTATCGGGTTGCTCTTCATGTGTTTCTGTTGATTTGGAATCCCGTTTTTGGACTGCCAGAGATAGAGCGGCAATCTGCCCTTCTATGGCGGTTACCCTAGCAGTCATAGCCTCCGTAAACTCCTTCATCATGGTGGTTAAATCATCATTCTGTGGTGCCATGGATCGTGACAGCTCTGATACCAAATTGTTAGGGTTCTGTGATTGAGAACGAGTCCAGGGACGTCTTGGGGTAGCAGGGTACCCGGTTGAGGTGATAACCTGCCTGCTAGGGTTACTCCTCTTCTTGCCCGTGGCTGGAAGAGCGCAGGGGGAAGGGGGAAGTCCGTGACTTCTCTCTGGGGATTAATTCTTCTAATGATCGATATTTTATTAAGGCTGAAAAAGGAATATAAATAGACATCCTGCCTTTACATGATAGAGTTCTAGTCTAACTAAAACTGTAACCTCTAAATACTTCTATTACTAATAGGGACTTCTAATCTAGTAGAAATTGTAACCTCTAATACTTCTATTCCTAATAGGAAGTAATAAATAAAATATAAAAAATAGCATCAGGATAATTTCCCTCTTCTAATTAAACTGTTCTAATTAAATCTCCTGCTAGATCCATAAAATGCATCCGTAACAGCCACTTGATCAAATATATAGTTTTTGTTGAATATTGATCTATACAAGAATTATATAAGCCACTCAAATAAATTAAAAGGAAATAACTATAGATTAAGAGGAAATAACTAGTTTTTTCAATATTCACCCAAATAAGAATAGATAGCTCATAGCTTAGGCCTTAGAGTATCATAGTACTAAAAGTATTCATCCCTAGGGTCAGCTTCAAACCAGGAAAATGCTAGGGAAAGAAAACAGGAAGGAAAATAGAGGGGAAATTGAGAAGAAAAGAAGACTTGGGGGTAAATAAAGAAAAGATTCAAACTCAATAAAAATATACTCTGCATTATGTTTTTATGCAAACTCAATATATATATATATATATATATATATATATATATATGTGTGTGTGTGTGTGTGTGTGTGTGTGTGTGTGTGTGTGTGTGCGCGTGTGTGTGTGTGTGCGCGTGTATACTTTTATAATATATAATGACTAAGAAATAAAAAATGTTAACATTTTAAAAACTATTAATAAAAGGGAAAATAACTTTAAATAATACAAACTATCTTCCATGAACCAAGAATAATACATACTTTGAAAATGATTTTTAATAATACCAACTATTTGCATATAAAACAAAAATAATATGGAGCCACTTTTCATCAAGAAATCCAATCATTTAAGACATTAAAATCTAATAGCAAACTATCTATTAAATGATATTTGGAAATACAATCACTTATTTGATATTTTGATACTACTTTTTGATGAATTAAATAACTTAATTTTCATTGAAAATTTGCTCTATATCACTTTTGGTCTATGTTTGGATAGTTGGTATTATTAAAAGTATTTTCCAAAGTATTATTATTCTTGGTTCATGGAAGATAGTTTGTATTATTTAAAGTTATTTTCCCTTGATAAAATTTGATCTTCCTTGGTATTTTCCACCGTAATACCAAAACATTAAAAACTACTAGTATGATATTATTCTGTATTCTATTTTCCAAGCAAAAAGCCTAAAACCCAAGGCCTTACCTATCAGTTAGTAATGTACCTCACAGTTAACAATACTTTTCATTGGAAGGGAACATATACATGACGAACCCCCTTTGTTGACGTACAGCACTAGATGCTCATTAAACATGTCCATATCTTTCAAGAAAATATCTCCACTTGGTACAATGATTTTCTACAAGTAAAAAAAACTGTCTAAGGAGCAAATAGCAGTAAAAGAATCTATATAAACACTGGGGCCGATATCAGGGAACAGAAATTTACTTGCAAATTGGTAGACTGAAAGTTTTCTACCCGGCCTCTGGCTAAGTAATAAAATCCACTTTCTGGCAACTCCATACCATTATTTGTTCGAGCATTTGTGAGGACATAAAAAACACCATGATGATGTTCCAAGAAATATTGTACACCAGAGACACGATTACAAAATTTTGCAAGTCCAGTGTATGGATTGGTTGCATTTATGATATATACCTGTATTAAGACCATTTAGACAAAAAGTGAAATTGAAACTAAGGTTCCGCATGGAAGCTAGTTCTGCCTTATTCTGCTTATCTTGCTTATCTGCAGTATTAGCATAGCTGAAGAATTAAATTTCCTAACAGAAATGAGTTTGGACAAATATCTACATTGATTTATTGAGTTTGAAACAATATTTTATTTACACTCACATATTTTTTCGTTTCCATGTTTTCCCTCTACTTTCTTCCCAATTTTCTTTCCTTACATATTTTGAGTTTCAAAAGGACACAGGAGAAAGCAGAGGTTAACGAATAAAAGATTAGAAAGGTAAAATTTCAAACCTCAGATGAAGTCCTGGAATTAGAATTCACAGTTATGAATTTCCCATCTTTTGTACGTGCAATATCCACACAGAAATTTGAATCATATTCACTGAACAGTTCCACATGATCCATCCGATCTGATCCAACTTGCACACACTGTAGCCTATTAAATTAAAGTAATGCTATGTCATTAGCATAAGAAGCTATAGCCTATATGCCATGTTTGGTGGATGACGGTTAGCTGATAGCAGGTGTCCGTGCCTATTTTGGCCAGTGAATAGTATTAGTTGTTCTAACGGGCTGGTAGTATACTAGTATTATTACTACTGTATTAGTAGTATGTGCAGTTTACAACAGGCAGGTTTGGTAAATTAATTGTTTATTGTGAGATGGTTAATTGGGTACACATAAAATGATTTGTATAGAATCATTTTGAAAATACAATAACATATTACTATAATAATTTTTATAAAATGATAATATTTAAAAAATATAATAACAATTTACTAATTTGATATATAATAACCAATCAGTATTTACTTTCAGTATTCTTATTATAATAACTTTGAGATAATAATGACAGGTTACTAGATAATTATTATATTGATTTTGAAAAAATAAAAAATTCTAAAAAATAACAATTTTAAAAATGTAAGAGCAGTTTACTATTTTAATATTTAAAAAACAAATGGAACAAATTATTTGTTTTCCATATTTTTATTAGAAGATTGTTTTCTTATATTTTATTGTAATTTATTTATATTCTTTTACTTAATTATTAAAAAGAAATAAAAGTAAACCAAAACACAAAAAGTAGGGGATTTTCCTCTAATATTACTAAAACAATACTCACGGGCAAAAATGTGACTACTTTTATATACTCCAAATAAAAAGATCAAGTATGTTGCTTTTAGTATGCACCACCTCACTAGAGACACTGCACACGTGTTGAACTATCACTATCAGCCTTTTCTGGCGACTTTTTACAGTGCATTTTCTAGTGAACTTCGTAGTCGGCAACAGACAGTTCAGAGCTTGGTGAGAGAGGGGAGAATGAAATTGTGGTTTGAGAAAATTTAGTCATATTAGTCACTGTTTTGGAAATGTTATCCTATTTTTGTACAATTAAAAGCTAGGCATTATATTCTGAGCATTCTTTCATCAAGGTAAGCGATGGAAAGATAACCTATACGGAAGGTTAGATTAGGAAAACATATCAAAGATGGAAACCCCAAAAGCCAAACTCTATCACCAAGCTGATTCAAAAAGCCATTTACCAGGCACGTATTTTAGCTAATTCGTCCGGTGAAACAGCTAATTTTTTCTAAACAGCCAAAAAATGGTCGATCAGACATTCACCAAACAAAGCCAGTAAACATAAAACTCATAGCTAGAAAAAACTTTGCCTGTAAGGTCGTTGTTGTTGGTCAATCAATGTATACAGTAAAGTATGACCATTTCCAGCCCATTCCAAGCTAGCAACTCCATTGACATTCAGATTCGGAAGAATGTGTCCACTCTTAAGATCTTTAACTTGAAGTGTGAACTCCTCACTGCCGCTAACATCAACTGTGTATGCTAGAAAATTGTGGTCAGGCGAGATTCGACATGTACCTACATGAACATATCCTGCAAGGTGTGTGCATATCTATGTAAGAAAATTGGCAATTAGGAGAACCAGAGAGTAGAGAATTGATATACCATAGTTTTCAGCTATCTCGTTCCAATCGAGTAATATCTCCTCTTTCTGTAAGACACTTTCTTTTTGAAGATGATTGGTTATCATACTGATCCAACCTTTATTCTCATTAGCCAACTTCCTACACAAGACTGGAAACTCCTTCCCCTCTGGAATGTACTGAGAGTATAGCCTATATCATTCCATAAAACACTAAACATATAAAAAAGTTAATCAAAACTACACTAAACAACTATACATTCATAACATCATAATGGTTAAACTAAAGGAAACCAACAATTCAATTTACATTGAATCTTCTTCTTATTTGTTGCAAATTATTTACAAAGGACTATTTACTTCAAGGCAGAATTGATCAGCTCCACTTGACCATTTCCCTGGATGAGAAAAATGTTTTAGTCCGTACTCCGTATTAACACATGAAAAATATTATAACCAACGTACTTCACTCTTCCACCAAAAGTAGAATAACGTTCTCTAAAAAAACCGCAAATTATTTTCATACCATAAAACACTAAACATATAAAAAAAGTAATCTAAACTACAATAAAAAACTATACATTCATAACATCATAATGGTTAAACTAAACTACTAAAGGAAACCAACAATTCAATTAACATTGAATAGTCTTCTTATTTGTTGCGAATTACTTAATAAGGACTATTAACTTCAGGGCAGAATTGATCAGCTCCACTTGACCATTTCCCTGGATAAGAGAATTGTTTTACTCTGTATTTAGCATTTACACATGAAAAATATTATAACCGATGTACTTAACTCTTCCACCAAAAGTAGAATAACTTATTTTCCTAGAGAACAAGAAAAGTTTTGGCCACAAAAGTAAACAAGAAAACATTTTCTCAAAACATATTTTTTTGGCAACCAAACATAGCCTAAAAATGTGTACTTTGTTTACATTGTGCAAATAACTACCTAAAAAATGCAACCCTGTACAGGTTAAAGACACGATTCTTAAGGTTAGTTTGACTCACATGGTGATTCTTGGTCACAAAGCCCTACAATTTTTCTTTCACTTTCCAGTTAAAAAAGGATGAACCTAGCTCTATATGTGTTACTGGTCGCTTAGACCCTCGACATGGAATGTATAAACAATTCCATACAGTCCACATCGAGAGTCTAAGCGACCAGTACCACACCCATATCTAGTATCAACTTGAGCAGACAAGCTTGGTGACCATAGGCCATCGAAGGGTAATTATAATTGTTTTAAAACCGGTGTGGGGAATTGTTAGACCTTCAATGTCCTTCATGGTTAGATACTTAGATACCATCTTAGTGTTACTAATGATTAAGGTTTGACAACTTTTTATAAGGTGGAAGCTAAAGTAGCTTAGAATTTCAATTACACGAATTATGGAAAACGATAGAAATGTTGAAACTTTGCCACCATGATAAGTACGAGGCCGTGAAAAAGGAATTCTTAGAGTTGACTTGATTTCAAATAATCAAATATTTATACCTTACAAAGTTGGACTACAGAGATTCACCAGAAAAAGGGGATTTTTAAGGTTAATTTGTCTCACATGGTGGTTCCCAAGGTATAAAAACAGTAAAAACACAATGGGCGGGAAAATTGGGACGGAAAAGATGAACAAACCAGGGACCCCATCGTTCAGGAGGGGTGGAAATTCTGGAGGGAATTCTAGAAACCATCTCAGTGTACAGAGTCCTCTGCATTTCTTGAGTATCCTCCATGAAAGCCTCGGCATATGCATTCTCTTGCTGGAGATAGCTGATGAAATCCGGGTCGTCCGTTTTGCGCATCCAGTGATACGGGTCGACCCAAGACTTCCCATTAGCAGAAACCGTGAAAGGAACCCTCTTGGCGGCTGGAGGAGTCTGAACATAGGTTCGGCGGGGTTGCCGGCGGCGGAAGGTGGAGACTGGGAGTAAATGGGTCTTTGTGAATGACGCCGCCCTCGTTGCTCTATGAACCATAGCCATGAAAACTTAAAAAAAAAAGGCGAGAGGCGGAGAAATACTGAAAAAGAAGCATTTTTTCGATCAACGAAAAATCAAGAACTCAAAGATAAAAAAACAAAAAGAATATAAATTTAATGTTGATGCCCAGGATCGAACTGGGGACCTTCAGTGTGTAAGACTGACGTGATAACCACTACACCACACCAACTGTTGGTAGCAAACTCCAAATTTGTGTATAAAACTAATGCATTAAAAGTTCTTTTGATTCCCATAACGTCGTCAATAAAGAGTTTTTAATTCTAACAAAAAGAAAAAACAGGAACTATTCGAATATAGAAGTAGAAAAATGTGAAATAATGAAATAAGAATGTTATATTTTTCTTAAAATATTTGTGATTATTGTCATGATTAAAAATGTTGTGTCAATATATGGTACCATAGGTTATTTTAAGTTAACAATAAATCCTTATTATGTTATTCTCATTTAGGAAAAAAGCATAATATTCTTGTGACAAAATTTTCAAAAGAATTATCATCATGCAGAAGTTTAAATAGCACAAAGTTTATGTTCTATAAATCAACTTCATACAATATATACAAAAAGTTACACTAGTCTATTTTCATACACTGAAAATATATTCAATTTCAAATTATTCTGTACATGGCATCCATGATCATGTTAGCACTTTAGGCATATTTCTTATTTGCAAATATTTTTTTATAATATTTTTTGCATGTATTAAAAATGCATCGATTTGGAATTTCTAATAATCTTGATTACAATATTGCCAAAAAAATAAAAAATCTTGATTACAATTTTTTAGTGTATATCTAGTAGCTTATGTGATGTCAGATTTTTTTTTTTTTTATTATTAGCATCATATGCAAATACGAGCATCCGAGATGAACCTCATATCAAACAAGTAAAAAAACTTGAAAATTTAATGATACTAATAAAGACTAATAAGAATGTACAATACTTACGTACAATATAGTAAAAATTGTGATACTTTTACCCCGAGTTTATTTTATTTAAAAAACATTAACATAACTACTTAACCACGGTCTTTTAATATTTAAAAAACACATAGAATTTAAGAATTTTATACATTAGAATTTAAGTTTTTATCATAAGTCAATGTTTTTATCATAACTAAGAATACTTTATACGGAGTACATGTCTAGAGATTGTTTAACCGTACCATACCTAAACAGTTGATCTCTGAATGAAAAATCACAAAATTAAAACAAGGTCTAATTTATTCAAATAAGTATGTGGTATTTTAAAAAATAATATAATTGAGTATTAATGCTTCATCTATAATATTTCACATGAATCAAATGTAAAATCTCATATTTTGTTTCGTGTATAATACTCTCTATGAGCTATATAATTTTATGTAAAATGTTATCACTTTATAAAAACTCCATTCACATACATTTTTTTGTTACAAAAAATATATAATCAGATATATTAAACTTGAATCAAATGTAAAATCTCAATTTCAAATTATTCTGTACATGGCATCGATGATCATGTTAGCACTTTAGGCAGATTTCTTATTTGCAAATATTTTTTTATAATATTTTTTGCATGTATTAAAAATGCATCGATTTGGAATTTCTAATAATCTTGATTACAATATTGCCAAAAAAATAAAAAATCTTGATTACAATTTTTTAGTGTATATCTAGTAGCTTATGTGATGTCAGATTTTTTTTTTTATTATTATTAGCATCATATGCAAATACGAGCATCCGAGATGAACCTCATATCAAACAAGTAAAAAAACTTGAAAATTTAATGATACTAATAAAGACTAATAAGAATGTATAATACTTACGTACAATATAGTAAAAATTGTGATACTTTTACCCCGAGTTTATTTTATTTAAAAAACATTAACATAACTACTTAAACACGGTCTTTTAATATTTAAAAAACACATAGAATTTAAGAATTTTATACATTAGAATTTAAGTTTTTATCATAAGTCAATGTTTTTATCATAACTAAGAATACTTTATACGGAGTACATGTCTAGAGATTGTTTAACCGTACCATACCTAAACAGTTGATCTCTGAATGAAAAATCACAAAATTAAAACAAGGTCTAATTTATTCAAATAAGTATGTGGTATTTTAAAAAATAATATAATTGAGTATTAATGCTTCATCTATAATATTTCACATGAATCAAATGTAAAATCTCATATTTTGTTTCGTGTATAATACTCTCTCTATGAGCTATATAATTTTATGTAAAATGTTATCACTTTATAAAAACTCCATTCACATACATTTTTTTGTTACAAAAAATATATAATCAGATATATTAAACTTGTATTCCAAATCATGTGATGGATTGTCAAATTTCAAAACTATAGACACCACATGCATACAAAACAAATAAAAATAAAGCCCCCGGTGAGGGTCGAACTCACGACCTTTCGCTTACGAAGCGAACGCACTACCACTATGCTACGAAGGCAACTACATATTAGGTATCGCTTTCAAATTTATTTAATACAAATTCAAATAAAACAAAAATTCATGCATCTTCTCTCCCACTCTATATATACACATACATAGAATATGCTGAAAAATCAGGCTCATTTTGAGACAAAAGATGTTGACAAAATTATTAATTGACTATTTGTGAAATTCATACTTTCTATGTTTGAAATAATTAGAATTAAACACTATTATACGGAGTTCAAAAGCTAAAAATGACTAATCTAATACATAATGTTTTGATTCCTTCACATCAATGTTTTTGTCGTAAGTAAAAATATTTTATACATACATAGAGATATTCTATACCACATTCAAAAGTAGGGGTCAATGTATACACCAATTCGAAACTAGACCAGACTATGCTTATGCATATGAATGAATCATCTACGCATATGTGGATTGTAACAAAGACTAATAAGAATGTATGTTGAATGTTTACAATGTAGTAAAAAGTTAATAGTATTTCTGCCCCCCATTTATTTTATTTCAAAAAATTATCAACATGACTATTTAAACACGGTCTTACAATATTTCAAAATCACATTTGCAATAATCTATACTACAATTATGTTTTATTTATACTATAAGTCAATGTTTTAATTATAGATAAGAACACTTTATACATGTATAGATGTTGTTTATACCATAGGTAAACAGTCGATCGATCCGTAATCGAGAAATCACCAAACTAAAACATAATTTTTTTCAAATAAGTATGTGGTAACTTAAAAAATAATATAATTGAATATAAATGTGTCACATGTAACATTGCACTTGGATCAAATGTAAAATCTCGTACTTTATTTCATCATCCCATGTATAAGAGTACTTTGTATGAGTTATATAATTTCACCTAAAATATTATTTTTTATAAAACCTCAATTGGGCTATAAAATTTCACCTAAAATGTTATTATTTTATAAAAACTCAATTAGCATACATTTTTTGGTCACAAAAAGTAATAGTAAAGAACAATGAAAATGTATCCTAAATCATAGGATGTGTTTTAAAATTTAAAAACTATAGACACCACTCACATACAAAAGAACAAAAACAAAATCCCAATTAAAAAATAATGTAATTGAGTATAAATGCACAATCCGTGACATTTCACAAGGATTAAATATAAAATTTCATACTTTATTTCACGTATAATGCTCTGTATGAGCATATATATATATATATATATATATATATATATATAATATATATATATATATATATATACACCTAAAATGTTATTCATTTTATAAAAACTCAATTTGCATGCGTGTTTTAGTTACCAAGGTATAGTACTATGTATGAGCTATATAGTTTTTCACCTAAATCTTATTATTTTATAAAAACTCAATTTGCATACAAAACTAATTTCACCTAAAATTTTATTACTTTATAACAACTCAATTTGCATACAAAAGTAGAGCCCTCAGCGAGGATCGAACTCGCGACCTTTCACTTACGAAGCGAACGCACTACCACTATGCTATGAAGGCAACTACTTGTTGCTCTCAAATTTATTTAATACAAATAAAGCAAAAATTTGTATATCTTATCTCTCTCCTCTCTATTTATCTCTCTATATACATACATACATACATACATACATACATACATACATACATACATACATACATACATACACACATACACACATACACACATACACACATACACACATACACACATACACACATACACACATACATGCATACACGCATACATGCATACATACATACATACATACATACATACATACATACATACATACATACATACATACATACATACATACATACATACATACATAGAGAGAGAGAGAGTCATTCTCCTGTCCAGCACCTCCCGGACCGAATGCCTTCCGAACACCGCCGTTTGGGGCGGTTCCTGGCGGAATTTTTTGATGAAATGTTTTGAGCATGTTCCTTATCAAGTCTAGTTTATCCATACCAAATTTCAGCTCAAAATTCGATAAGGAAGGCAGTCAAATAATTCGTTGAAGTTAACTGCGCCAAATTATATATAGAAAAACGCAGTTAACTTCAACGAATTATTTCACTGCCTTCCCGATCGAATTTTGAGCTGAAATTTGGTATGTATAAACTAGACTTGATGAGGTGCTCGGAACATGCTCCAAAGATTTCATCAAAAAATTCCTCCGGGAACTGCTCCAAACGGCGTTGTTCGGACAACGTTCGGACCAGGAGGTGCTGGACCTGAGAATTTTCCTCTCTCTCTCTCTCTCTCTCTCTCTATATATATATATATATATATATATATATATATAATGTGGATCAAATGTAAATAACTCTTAACACTATTATCACATGTACTTAAAAAAATATAAAATTACTAATCCAATACATTATGTCTCAATTCCTTTAGCTTAAAAAGTATATGTATCTTTAGACACACACACACACACACATATGTTGGGTGTGTTTCGGAAAAAACGGAGAAATATTAATTAAATAAAATTAATTAATAAACAAAATAGCTAAAAGAAAACAGAAAATAAGATGGAACAGATTTTAGCCAGAGCTCGTGCTACGCACAATGTCCTTA